GCACTGGGCGAGCCAACCAATTAGCGTTCGTGTACGTGAAACAGCAACCATGTGCTATGCACTGGGCGAGCCAACCAATTAGCGTTCGTGTACGAAACTATGTCTACCCAGCTTCGTGTAGAAAATTAGACCAGACGAGTTCTTCCATGGTTTGCCACACGAAGCTAAGGAGGAAAGCAATAATTTTGAGCACCATCGGTAGTTGTTCATCTCACTCAGTTCACGTGGTTTTAGATTATAACAACCCGGTATTAGACTCAATCAACGTTGCTGTTTAATGAAAATACTTTGCATTATGGTTTGTTTATTGTTATAGTTTCTTGTTATATTTTTTTTTACTTATGGTTGCTCTCAAAAGGGCCGTTTGTTTTGAATATTTTCGGGGTTTTTGATGACGTCATCGTCCATACGAGGCGTACGTAAAACAGAGGGTTCGTATAACTGGGGTACGTAAAAACGAGGTTCTACTGTATAACAAATTCCCACCGGACCATATATTGCACCAACTATTCAATCGCAATACATTAAAAATCAGTTACAGTTGCATCTGTAATCTTAAGAAGAAAGTTGATGGACACAACAAAACAACTTGGTCAAATAAAACTGAACAGCCTAAGAACAGAAAATACTGTTGCAGAAAACCATAGGATGCCCTCTACCTGACCATTTTCCCAAATATATGTATTTTCAGACCAAACGTATGTTAGAACTTGTGTAAAACACATTCAAAACCAGGTATAACCACACACCTTATTTAAAAACCCAACCTAGAAATTCAACACCAAACTAAGTAAATATATATGTTATCTAAAAGGCAATAATGTATACTACATAATTACTGTAAATGGAAATTTTCTCATGCAGCCAAAGCATGTAACCCAAGCATGTAACCCAGCATCTAAATGATGTGAGTTATGTGTCTGGGGGAAGTCCTCCATGACCAAGTAGAATGACCTCATCAGAATTTGTAGACATGCAAACATGTTTCTCCTAAAAAAACTTTGTATATTAATAACACTGCCAATACAATGTAATATACAACTATAGTGCAATGTTAATATAAAACTATAGTGCAATTAATGAAATTGCTCTAAAACTGATAATGTTATTATTTACTTGTCAATTCTTAATTATTACTGATTGATATACTGATGCCTGGTATTGCTGCTTTTATTCTTCACATGCCTAGTTTTAGCATGGACCTATTAGAATCAATCTGTGTTAATTTATCTTAGTCATTAGGCAATCTGACCAGTACTGTATCATGTATGTGTGACACGAAACTAAATCGTAATAAAATGTCTAATCAAATCTAGTCTTTTGAAACAGTTTCATTTGCATTTTATATAAAATATATGCTAATCGAAACAGTAGTTTTGACTTTCTTACCTACCTTTTGCCTTTCTTAGCTCTGATTGCTCTGAATACAACACCAATTTCCTTTCTACAAATATTTAGAGTAATGAAGTAAAGTAATTCATATCTTCTTTTTTTTACAGACAGAGCATGTTGTTGCTGGAACAAAACCTAAAAGAGGTTGTTATTATTGAATGAATATTTGAAAATAGATTGATTTTTTTTCAGATTTTATCTTTGTTATGTTTATATATTGGAATACAAAACACATAATTAGCTATTGTTACATATATTAAGTAAGGTTATATAGTGCGAAATTTTACAATAATATCAACTTATTCAAAAATATACTCTATTATATATTTCATATTTTTCCTCATTTATGTTTGTTCATAATAACTACAGTTATTGCTTATAACTCTAATAAGGCCTAAAAAAAAAAATAATGTTATATTGGCGTAACACAACCGACCCTAGACATTTTTATTTAAATTTCTTGATAAAGTTTAAGTGAGCAAAGTGGGCGTGGTTGGGCATTACTCAAAATGTTTCAAATGTGGTCTTGGGTGAAAAATATGGCAATTAGGGGCTTTAATGGCTTATGTAATTGATTTTATAGGTTTCAAGGATTTTGCTGAATTTTTTTTGGGGCCTAATGCTGGCATCATGTCTGTCTTAATAGGAACAATTATTTTCAACCTAAATAATCTACTAATTTTACATACAATCATCTAGTTATTAATCTTTGGTATTATAGAAAATATAATCAATGTTCTTACATTATGGTAATTTAACAGGTCAAAAGAAGAAGAAAGATGTCAGTAAAAGAATTCAAGCCCTTCCACCTGAAACTCTAAAAAGAATTGAGCGCAGAATGAGGGGAGAAAACCCACAGCATAGTAATGAAGATATTACTTTCATTTGGGATTTTGCTGGCCAGCAGCTTTATTACATTACACATCGAGTGAGTAAACTAAAGAAATTGTATTTGATTTCAGTAAATGATCCCTCTAATACTATTTTGCTGCACTGCTTTTTTAACAAAGTCTTTTGGTGGGATGGGATTTGAAAAAAGAATTACAGAATGTAAGCATACCAAATGAAATTTAATAATAGATTGTCATTAAAAAGTGTTTCTACTGTTATCAAATTATATTTTTCTCTTAGATTTTCCTAACAAGTGAGGCCGTGTATTTGATTTTGTTCAGTTTGAAAGAAGGTATGCACAACAAGGGAAAGCGTAGATTCTCTAAAATGGTAAATTTATCTTTATTATAATTTCCTTATATTAAGTACTTAACACATTTTATATACAGTCAGTCCTGTGAATAGTCAAATACAAAATAGCATCAACATGTTTGACTTGAAAGTGAAATTGTAGAGCAAAATTATATTACTAAACTTGACTGCATTAATTTAGGACTTAACATAGACAGAGGCTTTTTGTCTCACTATCAGGTATGATCTATTACCTGTTCCTGCATATATTTGACTGCTTCTGTTTATTACTATCTTTTGTTTCATCAGATGAGACTCATTATCCCTTGTTTATACTCAGTCACTGTCCACCCTTTTGTTCTTACTGTATATATGACCACACTTTTATCCTATTTGTACATTCACCTGAAGAAGACCACTGCATGGTTGAAAGCTTGTGATATGATATAATAATTTGTTAGTCTGAAAAGTGCTGTTTGTCCTTCATTTACTGTTAAAATTGTGTGTGATTGTACAAGAACTTATTTTGCCACTTAAATGTATTGCTATGTTATTTGCAATGTAAAATTTATAAACAAATGAAACTTAACTCAATTGAAGTAAACCAATTTGGCTTATGAATTTAAAATTGACTATTATGTATTCAAATTATAGCAAATATTTGTCATTGAATGTATATAAAAACGAAGTGGCAGTATTTTACATTGTCAAATTTCTGGCATGTTTTTTCCAGTGCTGTCTTTTTTATAATGGCTGTGTGCATCTTATAAGTTTCTTCATTCTCCAGGCAAAGTATGTGATGACGTACGATATGACAAATATCCAGATTATCAAATATTGGATGAGGTTGATATATACATACGCTATCCCAGTTAAGGCACAACAGCAGCTACAAGCCAAGAAACCTCAAATTGCGGTAGTCGGTACTCACAGTGATTGCCTAGAGGGCACAAAAGAAGACAAGAAAAAGCAGGTGAATATTAATCTCTAAAATCAGTGCCAAAATAATTGATTGAAATTCTGAAAATATTGTCATTTTATTATTTTATTTTATTTAGATTGAAGAACAGTATGGAATACTATTCCAAGAGATCAGAGGCACTCCATATGAATCACACGTGGTCAGAAAAATGTATGCCATCAGTAACAAGTATGCATCACAGTGTAAGATGCTGAAAACACTTAAACAAGATGTTGGTGGTTTTCTGAAAGAAATGCCCAAAACAATCCCCCTTAAGTGGCTCAAATTCCAACAAATATTGCAGGAGAATGGTAGGACATCATTGCACATGACATATGCTAAGGTACACATTCAGTATGCATTTTCATAAAGATTTTAATACAGAAGTGACGGAATTGGGTGTGCTGTGTTACGGAGAGTAATGTGTGACCGGAAATGGTCTGCATCAGTTGGTTGTTACCATGCGCCAGTGATGTTTGAGTATATAGTACAGCAAGATGAAACTATTATTAGGCCTGATGCATGAATAAAGTTCAAAGTTTGTCAGGTAGTGAAATGATTATTGTACATTTTAAGTGCTCCCTAAATTTATAAGTGTAAGCTAAATTACGGAGATTAATTTAATTAGCGAGATATGGAGACAATTATTTCAAACTTCCATTTTTCCAAGAGGGGATGTAAATGCCGCGGTACTAATTTTCACAAAGAAATACACACAACTGGTTAGCTAACAATATGCAAATGTTACATGAACACCTGGGAAGGAAGATGCAATCACATTGTTGCCTAGCAAATGTCTGTACTGTATGGTTGGGACTGCTGATGTACTGTGTAGCGGGGGACGATGAGGCATAATAAGACTAGGCCCAGGCCTAACTAGACAGTGCAATTATATGTGATAGAAAGTAAAGTTTTGAAAGAAATAAATTAAAATAAGAAAAAAAAAACCAAATAACTAAGAATAATTCAGTTCCAGAGGTACCTTGTTTAAGTATTATACAATGCTAACAATGCGGCTCTTGTAGCCCTAGCTACTGCAAGGCATCCATGTGCAAAGCAGTGATGTTTGTTTATCCATGAAAAAAGCACACCGAGAAAGTTGACATAATCTAGTTTATGACGTATGCATGCTAACTACATTGTGAGTGTGACGTCACAAAAAAATGAATATTTTCTGATATAACCAAAATATTAATAACTACAAGGTTTATGGGCGTAAATTCCCCTAATTACACAATCTCCTTGCCATACAAATTACAGCTCCCACTGACGTCTCAGTCGAGAAATACGGGTAGCTGATGTTATTCTCGCAAATATGGCTACAAAACCATATCGAAATTTCGCGTTCCACTTTTGACCCTGAGTTTCACTTCACACTCGCTGCTGAGGGCGGCGTTCCGGGAATTCTGCGTCAAGAATTTAAAACTATCTCATTTTACATACTATAACCTACCCACTGCTTTACTACATACGCCCACAAAAATATTATCGCCCATTAATTTGAACGTCAAGCTATATTCATTTGCTATTTTTTTAGGTCTGTAAAGTTGCTACTGAATGTGGAATTTCTGTGGAGAACCTCATCCACACACTCAACTACTTGCATGATCTTGGAATCATTCTGTACTTTGAGAACAACAGGCTGCTAAAGCATGCTGTGATAACAAACCCACGGAAGTTGATTTTCATCTTGAAGAAAATCATCACCGAAGTGGAGCCTGATGTAAAGGTGAGTTGAAGTGAAAATTCTCTGTCAGACATGATTCAGTCAGTAATAATTTCAGGGGCATAATTTTCAACATTTTTTAAGAGTACAAAATATACACTTTAGGGGATGGGGGAGGGTATTCAGGGTGAACAGTGACATATTACTTGCTCTAGACAAAGCATAGTTTGTCCTTACCGTCTACCTTGCTTTGTCAGTGGCTTTTGATACCATCATATGTAAGATCTTAATTGACAGGCTTTCAAGTCTGGGTATCTCTGGGACAGCCCTTGATTGGTTCCAGTCTTACATCTCTTTTCTACAGTAGCCAGTTCACATTAAATCCTTGATTTCTTCTGATTGTAATTTAGATTTAGATGGTCCCTCAAGGATCAACTTTAGGTCCCATTCGTTTTTCTTGTGAGTACCAATCTTCTGCATCATATCTTCATCAAACACCACTGTATGTACCACATCTATACTGATGACATTCTAATTGACATCTGCTGAGAAGGTCATCCACACTGTTCATTCTTGGCTTGCCAAGATTTTGCTCTCATTAAATGCTAAGAAAACACAAAGCAAGTTAATTTATTCTAAGCGTATAAGCCTCATATCATCACTACCACCACAACCTCATTGTTGGCAACTGTGTTATCTCACCATCCTCTAACGTTTGTAACCTTGGCGTTGTATATGATGATCGCATGTCGGTGGCATCATACATAAACATCATCTCTAAATCAGTCTCATTTGGTATCCATAACCTTAAACAGATCGGGCATTTTCTTGATGAGACCACAACAGGGAAAGTTGTTCATGCTCTGATTACCTCTAAACTTGACTATTGTAATAGTGTCCTCCTTTATAGTGTGATCCTTTATATAATAAATTGCTTGCATCACACTCCATTCTGGTGAATGTAAAAAGACATTTAGGTACACTACATCTATAACCTTTCATGTTCCTACCTGCTATTTGAAGACTTGTGGAGAAAGGTCCTTTTCAGTTGTTGGCTTCTAGCTCTGGCATTCTCTTCCCCAAACCATTCAAGGGTCTCCTAATTTAATGATCTTTAAGCACCATCTCATTATTCTTATTTGACAATCTCTAATTTTCCTTCACTCCCCTGTTTTGTTTTGAAGTCACTTTTGTGTTGCTTTTCTCTTCTATCACTTTTTGTTTGCTTTTCTTTTCTACCACTTTTCTGTTTCAACCATTATTTATGTTTTTTTTCCTTATGTGTTGTTTTGGAGAATGTATACAGACAAATGTTATATGTGCTATACAAGTGCACAACCATTGGCCTTTGAAAGTGTAGGTATAAGTACTCTTATATAAAAGAATAATGATCCCATAATAACATGTTTGAACTCATCATTACTTTTCAGTGGCCTTTGATGATTGAGGATTGGAATAAACTTGAAGAGGAAGGAATCTTGGAGGAAAAGTTAGCCAGACATCTTTGGAGAGATGAGATTAGCAAAGACGAAACTTGCTTTGAGTTCTTCTTAGAAATTATGAAGCAGTTTGGACTGCTGTGCGAGCAGATCAAGGTACTGTATTGAATTCACTGAATGTGTTGCAATGACAACACAATGATTTATATATTTTTTCCCAAGTTTCATCTTAGTTTACCTTGCATATCATATATATTGCAGTATGTTTGACTATTCAAAAATGGGTATAAACATAATTGCATATGTTTTTCCCATTTTTCTTTCATGTTTATATTGTAGAATGAGGAGAGTACACATCGGTCATTTTTTGTACCCTGTCGACTGAAACGTAGCACAGACAATATGGCTATTAAGTCAGACTCAGATCAGATGGTTTCTATCTATATGGCTTCCGAGGATTTCATCCCTGATAGTATCTTCCATCCTCTAGTTGTCAGTTTGATTGGAATGGTACAAAACATGGGCTACAAAGCTAAATTAGAGTTATTTAGCAACTATGCAAACATCTGGCTAGGACATGATCACACTCTCAGCTTGGGACCAGTAGTCATTGATAACAAGCCCTCATTAAAGGTAAAATGTTATTTGATGTCATTTTTCAGTCATAATTGAAGTGATACCCGGTGAAGTTATAATATTAAATGACTGATGGATTATGATTAAATATTGTTTTTTAGAATAAAAATTATTTTAATGTATAGGTGTAATTTTTCCCTACCTGACGTGGAAATGTACCGAATACTAACAACTGCGAAAAAATCGCAAGTTGTTCTCGGGTGGGACTCGAACCCAAGATCTCCAGTACATTCCATCACGACAATAACAATTACTATCAACACTGCAGTACCCGCTGCTTACTTGGACTCAAATTCAACCCTGGCCATCAGGCGCAAGCTCGGTGGTCTAGAGGTATGATGCCAGACTAGTGATCTGGAGATCGTGGGTTCGAGTCCCACCCGAGAACAACTTGCGATTTTTTTCGCAGTTGTTTTCAAATGTACTGAGTATTCGGTACATTTCCACGTCAGGTAGGGCAAAATTACACCTATACATGTTTCTCCTGATGCAAATCCAGTTATTGTCTATTATTCCATCATGACAATAACAATTACTATCAATTATTTTAATGTTACACCTTATTTTTATTTTCAAGATTCAAGATATATTTTAATTATCATATAAAAGCAATTTTTCGGGTATTGGTTTGTTACATTGTTAAAACATATAAATATAAATATACAAGAAAAATGTCAATTTGTATTGTAATGCATAGAACTTGTGGCTACACCACTTTCTTTTTTTAAAATTCAGTAACATAATTAATTAATTTTTCAATTATCAAATTGCCATTACTAACATCAGCTTCACTCCCTCTGTATATTAAAACATAGTTTATGCAGCATATGTGAGCTGCCTGACAAAATGAGTATTGTAAAAAAATAATTAAATACTGATGTATTTAAATAGATTTCTATATAAGTATTAATTTATAGATTCTGTATTTTAATTTTAGCTGGAAATATTACGAATGTCTGTTGTTCATGAGGATGGTACAACTACGTCAACAGGTGAACCAACTCCAAGAGTTTGTATGCAGGTAATATCTTTTGACAATTAAATCTCGAAACTATATTATGAACTGTAAAATTACACAAAGTCATTATTTCAGTATTTATTGGCAAACACCTTTACGTGGTGCGTCATACATAATACATAATATAATAAAGTAACAATTTTACATACACAGAACAACAATTCAAATGAAATTTAAAAAAAACTAACAAATATTGATTGAAAAGGGAACAAAATTACAGTAAGTATTACAGAAGGGTCAAAATAAGACAAACAGTAATTAATGATATGTTTTATCATCACTACAAATAAGCATTTATTATTTGGTTATAAGGTAAAGGTATGAGAATAATCTTTAACTCGCAGCATCATTGTGCTGAATTGCATATGGGAGTGGTTTGTGACTACCAAGCTGTCGGAAAGAGGTGCTTATAGTAGCTATAAATTCACACCATTTCACAGACAGGGCTAAATAACCGTAGCAATGGGGTAAAATACCCCCTACTCTTCCAAAAGATGAACTGGGTTCTTGAAAGTGCACCCAACCCAGATGGTGCACACTGGACCTCCATTTTAAGTCCTTATCCAAGAAAACTCATACCAACTGAACTTACTTACGATTACTTATCAAAAACATAGTCTCTCAAACACACAAGTTAAATATACATATTATGATGGGCCTTCAGATATTAGATATATTATTACAGTAATAATTATAATAATTTAATTGTAAGCTACACCTAATGGATCAGACTCATCTAGTCGCTTTAAATAAGCCTTAAACTATCGTTGGGGGTATTTCTAAGTCTTGGTTTACAGTACTGTACAAGGTTGAGCTTAACTACATTCACTTAACTACAATTTGGTAAACAATTAACCCACACCGGACACCAACCTTGTATTTCTGAGTCAAGGTTTCGGGACTCAGATTACATTTTACGTTTTGCAATACAATAGAAAACTAGAAATTATAGTATAATTAACACATTATGTAATATTAGAGATGGTTTGTCTCAAAGCACCTGTGCACATTAGTAAATTTATGCACATTTTTCTTGCATAAAAGGTAGAAACATACTAAATAGACATGTAACTGGGACGGATGGAGGATTTGGCGATTGGGATTCATTAGTGTCCACATCACCTCAGCCCACCTTGGTTTTACCAGTACAATGTTCATAATGATGAAAGTAATATAACAATAAAATACAGTAATTTTTGTTTGTAATACAATTTAGGGGGGTGCGATCGCACCATTTGCACTCCCTCTGCATCCGCCCAAGTGTAACCTTGTTTAGTCTACTAACAGACCTTTTAAAACTAAGTACGGTATTTTTTAGTTCTCAAAGATATCTATGCAGTGTATTAAAAAGTTGAAATCATATACCACAATAAAGCAAAGTAATACAAATCAATCTAGTTGACCTGCTTATTGCATACTTTGGGATTTCCTTCCAGCAAATGTAAATTCTGGATGTTTAAGGATTTTATATAAGACGATGACTTGACTGAAATACAAGTTCTATCAGTGTTCTTTATTCATGGTATTATGGTCAATTCAACCATAAGAACATTTTTATAAAACATATTTTTAAAAAAAGCTGTAAAAAAATGCCCCACTTTCCACATTAGATCTTTGGAAACAGGTCTTTGAAACAAACAATTAAAATTAATATAGCCTTACAAGTATGATTATAAGATATGTAAATGAGAGAAAGTATAATTATAATTAGATTGATCAATTGTGAGAATTATAAGCTTTAAATGATTTCCTAAGTTTTTTTTTCTTTAAAGATGTATTGTTCCTTAAAAGTGACAACAAATCATAAAAAATAATTTTGCTCATTTTGCTCTAATTTATTAACTGGAGCATAGAAATTATTGAATTAAAAAAAAATGTTGAACTTTGAACTTTATAGTGATAATAAAATTAATAAAACACAGTACGTTTTCACGGTAAATATATGGTTAATTTTTTTTTTAAACATTAATCTCTACATTATGTTCAAGTTAATCATTTTTATGTTACTCCAAATTGTCAAGTTAATTTCAAAAATAATTTTTATGATTTTTTAAATATTTTGCATGGGACAATGTATTTTTAAGTGTATTTTTATAAATGTTTGTACTAGCTGTTTTTCCTTTTTATTTTAAATAAATTGTTACACTTTCATTAAGGTGTTAGAGTTTCTGAAGCAAGAGATGAAAGTGTTGACAACTGGAATGAAGCACACAGGATATGCATTCCGTGTCCTGTGCTGGAAAGACTCGAAAAAAACTCACTTCCAAGATTTGGAAGAGTGTCTGGAAAATGATTATATCCCATGCGGAAAGAAATTGATAACGACTGGCAAACTACAAAGGATGTTCAGAAATAAGAAAATACTAACAGGAAACCCGTCCTCACCAGGTATTGTTGTGGAAATGGACATGATATCGCTTTAAACAATTGAAAATCGTCTCAAAGCACTTAAAGAATATTAAGAGAACTAACCCATGAATTGTCTTGAACTAACTTGGACTAAACTGACAACCCTCTCAGATATGTCTTAGTGGCTGCTGAGGGGAGGGTGTTTATGGTCACCCAGCAGCAAGAAAAACCAATAGCTGAACAAAGGGCGGATGAGCTCCTCGAAGTCAACTGCCAACCATTAATTAGTTTAAGGAATAGGAGTAGTTTAGTCTCATTGTGATTATTGTTATTATAATTATTATTTTTATTTTATTTTATTATTATTTTATTGTTATTTGAATTTTCTCTGTAGCCCTATGTTATTTCTTTGTAAAGTGCATAGGGGCAATGTGCAATATGTGCTATATAAATATAACATTATTATTATTATTAATATTATTATTAATATTATCATAACAGTGAACAGTAATACTAGAGCAGTCACTTCAGGTAGTTCATGCCTTTGCCCATTGCCTGAATACTGAACGATATGCCTAAGCAGACCATATATGGTGGGCCATGTTTTTCTTTTATGCTTGTGTTAAAAAATTGAATTTCATTGACCTTGCCCTTTGACATTTTCTTCATCTAATTGTGATGATTTAATTGTTTTTAATTTTTTGTATAGAGTGGACTAGCAGAAAGTGGTCACGCCGGTTGCGAAAATGCACCCGATGTGGCAACCAATGGTTATCTGCAACAAAAAGTTAAAAAAGTTAAAAGTATATAAATAAAAAGAAAATTGTTTTTGTTATTTTTCCCTTTTTATTTTTATATTTGGAGTTTGGAGTAAGTGTTTGTGTGCCCTGCACTTGAAGTTCCCCCATATTTCCAATTACACTATCTAGAATAGAGTTCCATATTGGACCGAAGAGTGGATGAAGCTCCTGTCTAGCCTCCTAAATTTAGAGTTTGGCAGGCGAAGGGCATGACTGGGCATTGCTCTACTTTTACGCTAGGAACGGCGTATTTCATTGTATCTTTTGAATATTATGTACCATTCCCATAACCGAAAGGTCCACTGATTAATCTCAGATAAGAAAGTATAATACATACTCCAAGTATTGAAATACACGCCATCGTGTTGGGATTCAATATTTCGACCTTAATTATGTCATCATCAGGAATAAGGAATCTTAAAACAGGAAACATTAACAGAGTTTTGAAGTAGAGGAGGACGAAGAAAGTGGCGGAGAAAACAAATGTAGTTGGCAATAACACCCTTAATTACTTACACAGTACTACTATTAAATAGTAACTATACAAGTTCAAGTTGACTTTAAGCAGCATTAGTGCATTATTTAATTCCTGCCCACATAAATAGCATGATTTAAAGTTACTTTAGAGGTGTTAAGATTAGATTTAGCACTGCAGGATTTACAAAGGATTGACAGAACTTTAAAAAGGGGGATTGTTACAGGCTGCACAGTCTTCCCGATACTTTTTTTTATAGGGATGAATCTAATTATTTTAGGTGCTAGAAAGAAATTAAAGGGTCCAAAGATGGACGAAATTTACCAGCTATCGTTGTGGAAATGGACATGCATAGCACCTTACACAATTAAAAATCGTCTCAAAGCACTTATAGACTATTAAATAGAGAAGAGAAACTAACACATGAACTATCCTGAAACTATTAAGAAACAACTGCTTTAATATTAACATTTCATTATAATATTTCTCCAAAATATTTTTTAAAGATTTACATGACATTTAAAAGTGTAAAAAAATTAAACTTTCGGTACACTGTGAGAGAATATATTGTGTGTAAAAATGAAGAATATAATTTAAATATTACTTGAAGATTTGCATGACAAGTAAAAGTAATTAATTTTAAATTTAGCTTTAGGTAAATCAAGTGTAAAATATGTTTTTTAAGAGAAAAAATGCTAATGATTGTCTCGAAATTTCAAAGAGATTGCACAGAATGTAAGCAGGAAAAATGAAGACCCTCAAGTTGCTCCCAGCTTTAGTGATAGAGTGTTTATCATCTTATGTTATTGTTAATGTTAAACCACTTTAAAATTTAAGGTTGAATGTCATTTAGTATTAAAACGATAGAAAATCTGTATAATTTGGTCCTAATCCTAACATTCGTAGATACTATATTTGATCTGTTAATAATAATATTGGTTACAGGTCCTTCAGTGGAAACCGCAGGTGTCAGCAATTTAGAGACAGCGCAACCAGGTTGGTGTTTTTCTTTTAAAATACTGTATACTTATTTTATTGTTAATTTTAATTTGCTTTTAACACTCAGTGCTTGAGTGTCATTTAGTATTAATAGAATATTAAAACTGTACAATTTGGTCCTAATCCTAACATTCTTGGATACTATATCTGATCTGTTATTAATTTATTGATTACAGGTCCTTCAATGGAAACCTCAGATGTCAGGAATTCAGAGAAAGCGCAGCCAGGTTGGTGTTTGAGCCACTGTTCTAGATATTCTGAGTAAATCTGTCTCATTATTTTCATTTCACCAGGCATACTCTTATCTTTGCTTCAGATGGAAATCTAGGTTATGTGGATGATATGCACCTATCTGCTATTGCCGAAGGCATGGGACTTGAATGGAAACAACTGGGCCTCAGGCTAGGTCTCAGTTGGAACAAGATTCAACAAATATGTAGTGATAACAGATTATTGTTCGACCGCATAATGGAATTGCTGACAGAATGGAGAAAACAACAGAACTATGAGAAAAACCAAGTTGAGATAATGTGCAACGCTTTGAAGGATAAGGGACTCACTGAGCTTGCTAACAAGGTCTTTGGCTCACAAACATCAGAGGATCAATCATCCCATGCGAAAACCAGTACAGATCATCCTAGTGGAGAATTACATCGAACGAAGCAGGAACACGATGGTCAGTAATTCATAATTGTTGCTGAAATTATATGATGATGATGATAGAGATGATATAATAGGAATATAAATGAATAGCCTTTAACCTTTTAACCTTTAATACAGTAATATTAATGCATGTCTTTAACCAGTACCGCTCGTCTATATTATTGTGTGGAAATATTTCTTATTGTGAATGTTTGGTTTATTGGGGAAGGCACATTGCAATACCTTCTTCCCCCTTTGGGAGGGGGGGTGGAGGCGAGGGTAATAATATTGACTGTATACTGTATATTGACATGTCTTTAGTATACCAAGGCGATTGAACAGAATAATTATAATCTCATGAAAGATTTTATTGCTGGGATTAACATTCTATGCATTCTGTGTTCCTACATAGTTGACTGATTTCAATCAGGTTTTTCGCTCAGAAAAACAAAGGCAACGAAAAATCTTCTTTTTGCTCCAATTTTCATTTTTTCATACATTTTTTTATTTATAAAATCAACAATGAAATAGAAATAAAATAATAGTCACAAAAAAATTCTTTCAATAGATATTGTCTGACCTAAGATCCAACTTAGTATATAAATTTAGTTGTGGGGGCTGTAATGCCACTTACATTGGTGAAACGTCTCAGATCAGGGAACACTCAGATAAAATTCAAACATATTCAAACATGTAAATAGCAATCCAAAGTGTAAATCTAATTCAAACAGAGAAAGCTTTAAAATCCTAGATCAGGCCGATAGCAGTTTCCAGCTTATAATTAAAGAGGCCGCTCCATATTAAAGTCAGGCTCCAGAGGAAAAAAAAATTTTGACATGTTGTAGAACTGATTTTTCTAAGACAGAAAAAAGTTGTTTGACGAAAAACTGGGGAACGGTGAATGAGATACAGATTTTTTAATATTTAAAAACTGGGGGAAAAAGGGGCGTAACTGCCCATTTTTACACCTTATTCCCCCAGTTTTTAAATATTAAAAAATCTGTATCTCATTTACCGTTCCCCAGTTTTTCGTCGAACAACTTTTTTCTGTCTTAGAAAAATCAGTTCTACAACATATCAAAAAATGCCACCACCCTCAATGCGTCAATATGCTTATGGTACTATTATTATTTGTCAGCAGACAGATGATTATGTTGTATTAATCCTATCACAATTGAACTCCAGGTTAAAACGATCAAAATGCCATTTTAATTTCATATATATATATATATATCAGGGCCGGCGGAACGTTTTTCAAAGTGGGGGCCCCCACTTATAAGCAGGCGCGTAACAAGTGTGGGTCGGGGGGTAGGGGGCAAAGGTAATAATTTTCCCGGTTAGTAATTTATGACTTGGTGTGATACCCCCCCATATAGAAAACAATACGACATAGGGCTTATTTTATTATTAATATAGGCCACACACGTGTGTTTGAAACTAAATATAAGCATTTTCATTGTGGTTTTATTTATTACAATTCATAGGCCTATTCTTTCACCATCATTACACATTGAGGCCCTTCTTTTAGCTAAAACGATCTATCTTAAATTTTCTTTCTCAAGTTTGGGAATATTATGTTTTTAAATAACTTAGAAGGCAAAGGAGGGCAAGCACAAGCTTTAACGCTAACAAATGCGCGCACAAATTTTTTGTTTTTTTAATTCTAATTTCGTCGGAATTGATCAAAACTCCCTAAAATGTGCAATTTTTAGAGGAAATTGGCCTACCTCAACAAGAAATGCTCTTATGTTATATATGGCCACACTCGTTTTTTTAAACTGAATATAAGCATTTTCCTTATGGCTTTATTTATTACAAACATGTATTCCTTCAACATCATTACACATTGAGGCCCTTCTTTTAGGTACAACGATCTATCTTAAATTTTCTTTCTTGAGTTTGGGACTATGTGTTATAACTTAGAAGGCAAGGGGAGCAGGCACAAGCTTCAACATTAAGAAATGCGTGCGAAAATTTTTTGTTTTTTTAATTCTAATTTCGTCGGAATTGATCAAAACTCCCTAAAATGTGCAATTTTTAGAGGAGATTGGCCTACCTCAACAAAATATGCGATATAAAATTTGAGATTTTCAGGCACTTTCCCGGGTGAAAATGGCATTCAATGGGGAAAGACTTTCCACAGATGGATATTTTCCCCTTGTCCCTCGGTGGTTACGCCACTGCGGAGAATACCTGGGGGCTTAGATCAAATGCGCTATGGACACTTTTTGAAGTGGAGAAAGGGTTGCAGGCCGGGGTATTGTGGTATCTGTTCATTATAT